ATATATTACTATTTTATTCCATAAGAATGGTCCGCGATAATCAATACAAAATTTAAAAAGATTTGTTTGAAAAATAGCCTGCTTAATAAAATTATCATTGCGTAAAATGTATTTATTTTTATCTTTTGATGAATACAAATTATGGAAAGAAATTGGGGATGAATTGGTTTTACATTTAAACATAAAACAGAGAATATTAAAAATATTAAGCTCATATATATTAAAAACTTTCCTTTCAAATAATAAAGGCTTGGCATCAGTATAACGGTCTTTAAAATATATAAGACGTGCTACATGTTTCTGCTGACAATAAAGAGGTTTAAGTTAATTTTTTTTTGTACTACTCTAAGCTATGTTTGCATAGTTTATGTGACCATGAATAAATGAGTAATATAATTGTACTGAAGTTTATTTAAAACATTTCTTGCTTTGTACAATATTCCTATACTTTTTTGAAATTTTACTTGATAAGTTTTTAATGTGATTTTTCCATGTAAGATTTTCATCTATACAAGCACCTAGAAAGTTGGTTACTGTTACTCGTTTAATTTGTATACTGTCAATAACAAGATGAGGCATGTTAATTGGTAGTTTATTTTTTTGATAAGAGAATGGAAAAGAATCCATTTAGTTTTATCAATGTTAAGAGATTATTTGTTTGTCTTAAACTAGTCAGATATTTTGACTAACTACCCGGTGGGAAATGAGCTAGCGACTATCGAGCGACTAGCTAGCTTTATAGCAATTTTCAAGCGATTTTTTTTTTTGCAAATGTCTTCAACATCTTTAAGAATTCAATTTTTAGTGTTGAGTCTATTATAATTATGAAAATAATTGAACTTTAAACATTACGATTTTGTAGCAATGTGTCGCTAGCTACATGTCGTAGCTTTGTAGCTAGCTACAAGCTGGTTGATAGCTACATATCAAAATTTTTTAGACAGCGATTTTATTACGATATGACGCTAGGTACAATAGCCAGTGGATCATCAGCTTATTAAGATAGCTGTCCTCATAGCCAAATCGCTGTCTTTGTCTTTAAAAATATCGATAGCTTTTCGCTAACTTAAAAAAGCTAGCGATCCTCGTGGCCAAATCGCTGTCTTTATCGTATCGATTATAGCTAGGTATTCGCTAGCCGATTTCCCACCGGGTAAATTATACAAACATTGTTTGGGGAAGTACCTCTAAAAGTAAGTTACGAAATCTCTACCATCGTCAGAAACACGCAAAGCGTTTAAAATGTTTTAAAAATCGTTTTTCTCATTCAAATATTTTATTTAAAAACGTTAAAGCACTTAACTTTTACGAACTCAATTCTATAATATTTTATGTCTTATGTTTCGTTGTAAAAATGAACAATCATTGTTCATTTTTAAGATCTTTTTACCCATAAAGCTATAAACAAATAAAAACTTTACGAAACAAACAAAAACTTTACGAAATAATTTATTCATTGAACCTATTTGTCAAACTAAGTTTAATCAATTTTGCATATACTATCGAGCACCGTATTTATGGAACAAAATTGTTGTTCCTAATTTTGATTTGTCAATTTCGTTTTCCGTTTTTAAAACTAAATCAAAAAACTATATTCTTTCTACTAGCTATATATATAAATATTTTTGAAATGTAAAAATTATTTTCACTCTGGATAGTTTGTAAAATTATTTTCAGTTTATTCTACATTGTTAATAGTTATTAAATCAGTACACGTTTGATATATTTTATATGGTTCTGGCGACAAGATCTTTTGGATCTTTTTTCAGATACCAAGTTTATATATTGTTATATTACGATTAATAATTTTAAACTAAAAAAAAAAAAAAAAAAAAAAACTGTAATCTAAAAAAAAGGTTGGTATTTCTTAGAGAGTATTTATTCGCAGGTTTCAGGGTAATTAGATCGGCAGGAGAGAGATTATTTTTACAAATATATACAAAGCATAAAATATTTAAAATATTAAGTTTGTAAATATTAAGTATTCTCATTTCAAAAAAAAAAATAGTTGAGAGTGAGAAAGATCATTTTTATAGGACGAAATAAATATAGGACGAAATAAATAAAGGACGAAATAAATAAAGAAATAATATTTATTTATTTATTTCGTCCTTTGAAATAAGCTTTACAATGTTTTACCACATAACAATATAAAGTTTTGAAATATTCCGACTGGAGCTGGCAGAAGACATCATCCAGCCTCGTCAGTTTTATCATCCAGCCTCGTTGTTTAAAATTTAGATATAATCTTGTATATAATAGACCTTTTCATATAGCATTCCGTGAAAACGAGGCAGTGTTGTAACAATCAAAACAAATCGACGGTGTTTAAAAATGGCGATATTGTCTGGGTTGCAATGTGCTTTTTATAAATGTTTTTCAAATAGCTATGATCAGTGGCGTACCGAGGGTGGGGCGAGGGGCGGTCCGCCCCAGGCCCTGCCTGGGAGTAGGCTCCCAAATTTTAATACAATTTATATTTTTTTTACTTCAGCCAGATTCTGTAATAGTCAACATTTTGATCTGTAATCATAATTGTTTACAACAAAAATGAACCTGAAACATGATCGTATCTGCTTGCCAAGATAATAAACATCCACAGCAAACAAACCAAGATGTAAGAAATTGAAATGACATCTTGGCCAATATGGCCCGTGACTGTTTTGGAGGCCCTCCGCGAAGCTTCCTCCCTCACATCGGCGAGTACTAATAAATAGATTCGCCCGTCCTACCTACGAGTCTATGGTTTATGATGGTTCAGGCAGACTGACGGATGTTTATGTTGCTTCGTTAATGTGATTAATATACTCTATCATTCAGTACCCAAATAATTCGAGAGCAAATCACGTCTTCAGTTCGTCATCACCAAGTTACACGGTAAGTTATAATTTTATTCCTGCATATAGGCCTAACAATGCTGCGTGAGAAGATTTTAGTTATCAGGTTATAATTTTATATCACACGTCGTTTTATGTTGAAGCCACATCAGAGGCCTGTCCTTAAACACTATCCGTATAGTACGAAAACATTTAGTTTTGATATTGTTTGCTCGTCCTAGCGAATTTCCCATATGGAAGGAGCTATTACCATAGGTGGCATGGACAAATTTAAGCCCGAGACCATGATAACATTCATCTTGGGGGCCCCAGATTCCGAAAACATTAAAATTAAAATCAATTTTTCTTAAACCCCCCATATTATTCTTATGGTTCATAAATCCAATTAATAGCTAGGTTATTTATGAACATTAATAAATATAATAAATATAATAATTAAAACAAATATAATAAATATAATTATCATAATAAATTTAATAAATATAATAAATATAATTAATATAACAAATATAATGAATATAATGAATATAATAAATATAATTAATATAATTAATAAATTAATATAGTTAATATAATTTATATAATAAATACAATAAACTCAATAATAGTTGTAAATATAATAAATATAATAAATAATATATTAAATATAATATACGTCAAAACAGAAAACACACAACTAACTAAATTAGAGGCACAACAGTATACAATGAGAACATCTAAATTCCCCTTTGAACAGCTGCTCTGAAAATACTCGTTAAAGCATTAGCAATAATAGGCTATCAAACAATTCCCATAAGAAAATTCTAGATTAAACAACTCCCGTGGAGACAGTCAATCTCTGCCAACCTGTCTCTAAAGTAAAACCACGATAAACAACAAAAAATAATTCCAATGAAAAACGTTATTAAACCCACCTTAAGAATTACCTAACTTTATTCGTGGAGACATGCGAAGCTCTGATGCGTAAATAGAACAATAGGCCATTGAAAACCTACAACGATAGAACAATGGAATTTTAAAACCAGAAATTTTACATTTTCATGTGCGCACATTTTACTTTAAATAGATATCTACTAACAAGCGAAGTGAAAACATAATTAATTATACTGTTACTTATACTGAAAATTTTCTAAGAAAATAGCCGAAAAATGTAATTCAAAACTTGACGGTTTTATCTTACAGTGTTTATATATTAGGTTTGGTTCGTTTTCAAACCCATAACGCGAAGGTTTGTTTTATTTTCTAAATACTTTATTGTCTAAAATAGAACAATTATTTTCAGAGTCAAGGGATTATTTGTCTAAAATAGAACAATTATTTTCAGAGTTAAGAGACCTGTTGATAACATGAAACGAAACTATCCCAGTGGATGGGAAAAGAAGAAAAAACAAAAAGCCTAAGAACAAGAACTACAAAGGTTGTCGAGTTCAATACTTAAATTTACTAAAAGGACACTACCCCAGACAAACAATGAAGCAGGGCCAGAGGAGGGCCCTGAATCTTTAGAAGGCCCAATTACAAGCTATGGCCAACGGAATGAAAAACAAGCAATGAAGAACAAGAAAAAGGAGAAGAAGAAGAATACAAAAGGCAAGAAGAAGAAGACATAACCAATTCGATACGTTCTGAATCAGACGCAAATTCAGTACACGAATCAGAAGATTTAACATTAAATTATGAGTTGGAAACTGGCCCACTCCAATGCAAGATTATCTCAGAACCGATGTTATAAGACAAGGCAGTGAAATTTACCAGAACTTGGAGGGGCCATTTGATCCAGTTCATAAACCAGGAGAAAATTCAAAGGGTCAAACTAGACAGCTGACAAAACGCTGGTTTTACAAGAAGCTTCCAAGTGGAGAACAGATTTTGAGGAAATCACTGTTTTGCTTTTGTTGCAAGTTGTTTGATAAGAACGATAAGCCAACGACCAAATCAAGTTTCATCACAGAATTCAATAGTTGGTGGAAACTGAATTATAAAGTATCAGAAAACTCTGAATTGCATATTAACAATTTAGAAAAACGGAAAACACTTGAAGCAAGGCTTCTCCAAAACAAAACCATTGACGCTGCTCACCAAGACGTAATGGAAAGAGAGAAGAAGAAATGAAGAGACATTTTGCATCGTCTCTTAGATATAACACTTTTTTTGGCAAAGCAGACTTTGCCTTTTCGAGGCCACAGGGAAGACTTTGCTTCTGAAAACCGTGGTAATTTCTTGGAACTTGTCAGCCTCCTTTCAAACTCTGACCCTGTTTTAAAGGAGCACAGCATACGACTTCAGCAATCATTGGAATCAGGATTGATTACAGTTTCTTATTTATCGCCTGCAGTGCAAAATGAGTTTATATCTCTTTTAGGCGATGCTGTAAAACAAGAATCAATCTGTGAAATCAAGAAAGCTAAATTCTATGGAATATTGTTTGACAGCACGCCAGATAAATCCCACACTGAACAAATGAGTCAGGTCATAAGATATGTGAAAATTGACAACAGGAACGTGGAAGTGAAAGAATCATTTCTAGGTTTTATTCCTCTAAGTGGGAAAAAGACAGACTCCATAACACAGGAAATTGTTCAGTCTCTTGAAAAGGACGGCTTGGATTTAAAGCTTTGTCAAAGCCAAGGATACGATAATGCCACGACAATGTCTGGCATTCATACAGGAGTTCAAACCAGAATTAAAGAATTTAATCCAAAAGCAATATTTGTGCCTTGTGCTAACCATTCGCTCAATTTATGTGGCGCACATGCTTTTGGTAGTGTTTCTGTTTGTGTCACATTTTTTGGAACTTTGGAAAGTGTGTACACATTTTTTTCATATTCAACATATAGATGGGAGATCCTAAAAAAAACCGTTGGAGTGACAGTGAAGAGACTTAATGATATCAGGTAGAGTACTCATCACGATGCCGTGAAACCAATCTTCAAACATTTCGAAAAGTTGGTTAAGGCTGTGGAAAAGCTATGTGATGCTTCTGAAAACCTAGATACTAGAGGAGCAGCGGAGGAGTTGATGACAAACATTTGTAATTTCAATTTCCTTTGCTTCTTGCATTTGTGGTACCACATTCTACTCAAGGTAAATCATGCCCAAAAATATCTTCAAATCGAAGGTATTAGCTTAGAAAAGTGTGTTGTAAAGCTGAAAAGCTTGAAGACCTTTTTAGTAGAGAGTCGAGAAGTTTTAGCCCATAATGCTGTAGAATATGCGACCCAGACTTGTGCTGAAATGAGCATTGATATTGAAAGCAGAAAACGCAAGCGAGTGAAAAAGATGATGCGAGGAGAAATTGCTAAAGATGCAGGTTTAACTCTACTGGAAGAATTGAAGCGTGCTATGTTTGAGTGCATTGACCACTTTCATGTAGAATTAGAAAAATGTTTGACCTCGATGAACACTGTGTATGAAAAGTTTGCTGTTGTACACACAGGTAATCTTTTGAAGGCAACTGATGAAGAAATTGTAACCTATGCCCATCAGTTTTCAGAAACTTTCAATGATGTAGAGGAGGAAGAAATACTACCTGAAGTAAAGAGGCTGAGAAGGCATCTGAAGGCTTCTGTCATCAAATTAGACATTGCAGCTGCATGGACATCCTTAAAAATGGCTCAGTTTATCATCGAAATGGACTTTCGTGAATCGTTGCCAAACGTGACTGAAGCTCTTAAACTGTTTCTAACTATATGTGTGTCCGTGGCTTCTTGTGAGAAGAGTTTTTCAAAATTGAAATTAATTAAAAATCTCCGCTCTGCAATGAGCCAGTCTCGTTTGACGAGCTTGGCCATAATATCAGTAGAAAACGAAATTGCAAAACATGTGAATTTTGATGAGTTAATCAAACAATTTGCAGAAGTCAAGGCTCGCAAGAAAGCATTCTAATGTGTTTCTAGAGGTAACTCTTTGCTGTAAATCTGTTTTTTTTACTGTACATTGTACATCATTGTATTATCATTAAAAATAAATAATCAAAACTAATGTTTTAGTCATTTGTGTACATAAACGAATTTCTATAAGTGATATAATGGCGTTAATGGATATATATATATATATATATATGTATATATATATATATATATATATATATATATATGTATATATATATTATATATATATATATATATATATATATATATATATATATATATATATATGTATATATATATATATATATATATATATATATATAATATATATATATATATATATATAAACATATAAACTGATAATCGTTTATTACAAACGTTTTCAAGAAAGTGGAGAAAGATAATGTGTTATACATACATTCAGTCTATATATATATATATATATATATATATATATATATATATATATATATATATATATATATATATATATATATATATATATATATATATACATATATATATATATATATATATATATATATATATATATATATATATATATATATATATATATATATACATATATATATATATATATATATAAATATATATATATATATATATATATATATATATATATATATATATATATATATATATATATATATATATATATATATATATATATATATATATATATATATTAGGGTGGTGCCTAAAACAACTTTTTTGAGAAAAACCTGCTCGTACCCCCTAAATGTGTTTTATCTAATACAAAAACACTAGGTTTAAAATTTTTTTGAACAAAAAATATTTTTAGGGGTAGCTCAAGGCCCTCAAAAATTTGACGGGTCCCTAATAATTTGAAAAAAAAACTTTTTCTAAAGTATGTCAACCTGGTACTCAAAATAAGCAAAATTATATAAAAAATTTAAAAATGAAAATAATTTTTTATAAAAATAGTTTTTTCAGGTATAAATGCATAAAAACTATTGTTTTTAAGCTGAAAATGAAAAAAGTCAATATTTTCAGGTTTTTTGAGAATAATTTTTTTAGGCATGTTTTTTATGTAAAATGATTATTATTTTTGAAGTTTTTATATAATATCGCTTCTTTTGAGTACCAGGTTGACATACTTTAGAAAAAGTTTTTTTTTCAAAATATTAGGGACCCGTCAAATTTTTGAGGGCCTTGAGCTACCCCTAAAAATATTTTTTGTTCAAAAAAATTTAAAACCTAGTGTTTTTGTATTAGATAAAACACATTTAGGGGGTACGAGCAGGTTTTTCTCAAAAAAGTTGTTTTAAGCACCACCCTAATATATATATATATATATATATATATATATATATATATATATATATATATATATATATATATATATATATATATATATATATATATATATATATATATATATATATATATATATATATATATATATATATATATATATATATATATATATATATATATATATATATATATATATATATATTATATATATATATATATATATATATATATATATATATATATATATATATATATATGTATATATATATATATATATCATAGCCAGTGGCGTTGGCACGTTACTGGCTATGATAGATAATGTAAATGGAATTAGAGTTCCAACAAATATTATACTTTTCACATTTTTAACTGTAGAAAGAAATATTTGGTGTAACTTAATAAAAAGACAAGAAAATAAAGATAATTTAAAAACAACAAATCTACTTGATTATTTCAAAAGCATTTCTTACAAGAAATGGTCCATAAAACCGAATTTGGTACACAAATAAAACTTATAAAAGTTTTTAGGACTCATGCACTCATGAAATAAATTTTCAGTGTCAGATACATCCAGAAAACCACAAAGTTTCAGACAATGTTTGTTTGAAAATGTCGATGACGATTCGTCTGCATCAGCACAATTTTCATCGCCACAAAATGAAGTAGATATTTCTTTATAGACATTGTCAGCGCCACTAGAGGAAGTAGACTTTAAAGTAAATGCTGCTGAAGGTAAATTAGTAGATTCATTTATCCAGTATAGTTTATACTGAATTTCCATCAATAACCAAGCTGTTTATGCATTTTTAGATCCTGGAAAAAAATGAAAAAAATAATTTTTTATAACAACCAATAAACAAAAACAGTTCATCTACCGGATGACCAAGAGTATTAAAGCCGCTTGATGCATTTATTTTAACATTGACTTGTTTACACGGGAACTTTGATCTTTTTTTTAATTTATTTTTATACAATATTTCAGAAGGAAAAGTTTCAAATACTGTAAATACATGGATAAATTTTATGTATAAGACATCTGCATATGGCCTTATATGGAGTGAGTTAGGAAGAAAATTTCCTAATGAATGTAGGAAAAGCTCCCTACTGTAAAATGTATCATTGATTGTGTAGAGTACAAAGTTAATAAATCTTAATTATTTATGCACAAAATTATGTAATTAGATAATAAAAATCATAAATTAGTTAAAGTTTTAGTTGGAAATACACCCGGGGGAGGATTTATGTTTATTACGTTAATCAAGGTAAAACTGTAATGAGTGACTGTGGCTTTACAATAGCAGAATACTATAGACCACTTAGTGTTAATATTGTTTTACCATCATTTGGTTAAGGGTAGAGAAAAATTTACTATTGAGAAAACAGTTTTAAGTCAACAAGTTGCAAACTAAAGAATCCTTGTGGAGAGAATAATATAGAACTTTATAAAATTCAAATATTATAAAGGCCAAATATTATAGTTGGTACATGGTGAAAATAGTATATATACTAAATATATAATATGAAAAAATATGATTTGTCAGATCATTGTATAAATTTTAGCAAATTATTTTAGCAAGTAAAATAGTGCTGATATGCAAAGTAAAGAGAAGAAACATAAAGGTGTTGCATTCTACCTGTGTCTTTGGAGCTATTTTGTGAAGAATTTAAAAAATAAAGAGAAAAAGACAAAAATACAAAAAAATGCAATAAATAAAAAATTTAATTAAAAAAAAAAAAATTATTAATCAAGAAATAACAAAAAAACAAAAAATCTATTAAAAAAAACTACATAACTGCCAATTAAGAAAAAGAAAAGAATCCAGAAATGGAGAGCTAATCTTAGGCAACAACATGACAATTTACAAATGGAGTGCAAAGTCCTATGGCTTACCTTCTTGTTGGTGCAATCCGTTAAATAAGTTAGACAAGTAGTAAATGTCTAATTAATGAACAGAATAGCCAAGGCAACATTTTTATTAGCTTTATTTAAGATGAGTAATTGAGACCAATGCTAAGTAAGTAATAAAATAATACCTTCAAATTTTGTTGCTTGATTCATGAAATCTTTATTCATCACTGCATCACTTAGTTTATGATTCAAGCGATAAACATCTGGCAGACGTTAAACTTTTAAAAATCATTTCTAAAAGTGCAGTTTAGCTTGTACTTTCTTGACTTTCACATAGCATCATTAAATAGAAAATATAGTAATTAAAAATTAAACTTTAAAAACTATTTTAAAAAAATTACATAACTGTCTATTTAGAAAAGGAAAGAATCCAGAAATAGAGTGCTAACCTAAGTCTACAATACTTTACTCTTTTAAGGCTACAATACTTATATGGCAGTGTCTACGCGTACGGCTACCGGACGAATATCATTAGCACTATTTGTACGGTGATGTACCACGTGACTAACCGTATTTTTAATAGGGGTATATTTGTACGGCAAACGTACCACGTGACCAACCGGACAAATAGTGATGAGATTATTTATCCAGCGAGTATTTACGTCAAGTTACGTTAAGCTAGATATGCCGTACAAACTTAACAGACATTGTTCAAGCGAGTACAACATTATCGGAAAGATATCAAATACTGTTAATTTATATTTTCTTCGCAACTACATATAGATTACAATTTTTTTTTTAAACAAGACAGGAAGCATGAATCTACCAGTTAAATGCTTTTTTGTGGTGCCCTGTGACAAGACTGTTTGAGCATTTTGGGACTTTAATAAAAATTAATAAAAAGTTGTTTAATATATAAGAAACTTAGTAAGATTGATAAAAGACCAAGAACTTATCAATAGGAGCAGGATTCGAATGCACACAATTGTAACAAAAATATAAACTACAGAACTTAGGATTAGTGAAGCAGAGTAATAAAACACTCTGTTGAACGTAATAAAAATCTGAATAGAATAATAAAAGGCATGCTACAGAGTTGATGGGAAAACCATCAACTTTACTTACACACAAATACAAAATGTTAAACAAATAAAGCAACGTGTACTGTATTTCATATTGTTTTAAAATAATATTTTTTTATCAAAATATAGTTGTGTATCAATGGGACACTTACTCCTCATGTAAGGGAGCATTGGTACAAAAAACTATGTTTTAAAAATTAAAAAGTATTGTATTTAACCATTAATTTTTGTATATATAAGTTATACTTAAATGTTGCCAATACATTGGGAAAATAGCAAAAAATATTAGTTTTTTTTTCGATTTCTAGTTCGCTCCTCCCTCTCCCCTATATGAAGCATTACTAAGAAAATATATAATACGTCAAAAAAATTTTACAACCACACCTCTTATAAAAACCAACTCAATAAAAAGTAAGGTCAAGTTGTTACGCAATAGTAAACCCAATTTTCGGAATCGCTTATGCATTAAATGCAATTACCTCGACTACTTTTGTGCAGCACACATCTTAAAAATCTCATTATTGTTAGGTAACCAATAAAGGCCCTGCCAACGTGAAAGCGGCTCATCAAATTGAGGTCTATTTAATATTAACTACTTTCTTCATTTTAGTGATATTGAGATATGGGTAATTAGAAGTAGTAGTTAGTAGGCTATTAAGTTACGTGGTGCTACACTTATATGGAAATAATCAGTATTGATTATTTTTATTATAACGCATTTTTTTAAATTCATTCTTTTACACCTAGTGATTCATTAGTACATTATTAACACTTTGTGACACATAACCCGTTATTTCTTTTACCTAAACCATTCGTACAATGTTTTTTTAGTATTATCATTACAAAGTGTTGTGAAATAAAAAATAAACCGTCATATATTATGCACAATTATTTGCATTATCTGAAACGGGCATAGATTACAATAAAAAAAAACCTTAACACTTAAAAAACGTAACTAAAGCAACCCTTAGGATGTGTGTGCTCCAGGGCCTTCAAGAGCGTCATTGGCGCCCGGGTCAAAAATGAAGAGCAACGTCCTTAATTCAAACTAGTTAAAGAAATTTAAATTTTAAAAATTTTGTGAACGCAGCAGTTATTTGTTTCTAATACAGCACTTTGTACTTTTGCGTTACCATTAATTCTCTGGATTGAGAAACGGTTTTTTGACATGATCAAAACATTAACTTTAAAACTATTAAAAAATTATTCAACAAAACCTTTAAAAAAGGTAAACAAAGCACTTAAAAATAAACTTTTTGAGCTTTTATGGTCACCCAAATAATGACATTGTCAAAGCTAACTTTTTAGCCAAAATCTTTTTTAATCAAAATAATCAAATACCAATAACGCGATCCTGACCCATGGTCAAAGGAGAGTGTTTTACAATTTTTAGTTTATTAAATGATTGTTTACCGTCAGCAACTGACTTAGGAATTTGGTTGAAAATCCGGAAAATGATACAACTGTATGGAAAATAGCGTTCAAGTTTCTTTTACAAGATTAGATCGAATATCGCAGAAATTGTCTAAATAATCATTTAAAACGTTCACTTTAAGTTCTTTTTTTTGGTGGAAATTGGCTGTGTTTGATGTCTCATCATAAAATTTTTAGCTTACGCTTTCCTTTAGTAGCGAGTTCAACTTGGAATCCTAGCGAGTCAGATACAATTACAGACTCTTAGAAAATTTACAACCAAGTGTCCCTAATCCGTTTAAGATTTTCAAGCAGCTGTCCAATCAAATGTAGATCATCATCAATGGTAATGGCTGCAGATTGTAGAAGACGACTAGCAACTACTCACTGGTCAAACATGGATTTTCACGACATGTTTAAGAGCTGCCAACGTTTCTCTTGGCAAGTAGTTTGATCAAGTCGATAAGAGAGCTCCATGTTGTCATAGAAAGTCTATGCAGTAAAATCCAAGTTGCTTCAGTGAGAATCTTCCATTGAAAAAAACACTAAAAATACGTACCAAGGTACGGCATTTTTAAAGAATACTTTGATCTCAATGACTGATTCAACTGCGTACACATCAGCCAAATTTAGATAGTGAGCGCTACCGGGAACGTACAGAGTTTAATAAATTCGCAAGAAATTTTACCTTATTAAGGCTTGAGCTTCTTTGTAAGCACTTGACATAATGGTCCCACTTTCGTGTCGTGTTTTGAACATTCATTCTCAGCCTTAAAGCTACATTAGTGGTTAGTTTAGCTATATCAACTTCTTTCTTTATCTGAAAAGTTTCAACACACAAGTATCGTTCTTTGATTTTCCAGCAGTTAATTTCTCCTTCATAGAGGAGAAAACGAACAACAAAGATTATCTGGTCAGTATGAGATATATTGGGGTACAATCGACTATGATTGTGAAGTAGATACCATTCTGGATTTCTTCGAGATCTGCACTTTTGCTGGATTGATGCTGTTTTACACGATTTATGAGTTTCCTCCATTGATCACTAGCTCCTCTGTTCTAACGAAGAAGCGACAATTACCTACTTTTGAAAACTGCTTTTGTGCTGGTTTTTTTTTTTTTTTAAATAATTACATCTTGATTTTTTTGACTCAAAACAACAGGCCACAAAGAGGGGTTAGCAGTAATTATTACCATATCAGGTTGAACATCACATTCTCCACTGTAAGATATAAATTTTCTCGTTCTGACTCAGACAATAAATTTGAAATTCTTTAGCTCAGATTTAAGGAACTTGTTTGAACCCTCTACTGATCTTCAAATCATACATATTGAGTGTAGTAAATTACACATATTGAGTGCAGCAAAGGTGCAAAAACTCAAATATTTGTTTGGGTGCTGGTAGTGGAAAAATTGCTTATTTATCTAAAAAACGCAAAGCTATGATTCTTTTGATTCAAAGTCAAATACTATCTAAATGAGTACCGCTTTTATCGTGAAATCGACAATAAAGTCTCGTGTGTTTGTTTTTGCAAGAAGTTGAAGCGAATCCGTGGAACGCATTACTAAACGAAATTTTCAGTTCTATTAGTGTTGGCTGCTTCAAAGCGATATTTGATCAGTTACCATTATAATTACTATATTTCATCATCTTCCAAACAATCAAGCATGAGCTAGCATTGGTAACTGTTCACAGGCTTACCGAATACTTCCGCTTCCGTCTAATTCTACTTCAATAAATTGTATTTTTTTCGTAAAAAATAGTTTATAATTAACTATAATAATAGAATTTAAATTCTAAATTATTTTTTTCATGAGCGTTTTTATTCCGAATACTAAAGCTTTAATCTCAAGTACAAAAACTAAGTAGATTTCAAAATGTCAGTCATTAAAATACTTTATATTTATTGTAAAAAAAAAAAATAATAAAAAATAAATAAATAAAAAACCAACGGATTGTCTAGCGCCCCTTAAAGCTTGGCGCCCGGGTCAATTTACCCCCTTTGCCCCTCCGTCTCAAAGGCCCTGGTGTGCTCACATTGCCTAATTAATGGATCATACGGAATGTACACAATATACCGTTCACCATGCAACTATGTTATAAGAGCTTTTGTTATAATGTAGCGGGTGATTAAAGATCCAAAAGGTGTCATATATGTTTTTATAAGAAGATTTTCAGTCTTCGACAAACACGATTTGACAGAAATACGTGATACACGATTTAACACTAACCCCTTAACATTATTTAAAAATATACGACTAGTCATATATTTTTAAATAATGTTAAGGAGTTAATAATTACTAACTATTATAATTATTCAATTCATTCAAGTTAACAGTGATACAAAAATTAAAATAGTAGTCATTAAAAGAAAAAAATATAATATAATAAAGAAAAATATAGAAATTAATCGACCACACGAATATCACTTTATATATATATATATATATATATATATATATATATATATATATATATATATATATATATATATATATATATATATATATATATATATATATATATATATATATATATATATATATATATATATATATATATATATATATATATATAACTATTTCAGTTTTAAAATTGTAAGTAATACCATGTATATACTTTTTTAATTAAAATCGCGTTGACTTCGTGCAACCAGCCCTAAAAGCAAGACTCTCAATATATAAATAATCTCAATATATAAAAAAATCTAACTTATCAATATTTAATTTTAGTTAAAGTTATTTATTTGCTCTAAACTCATAATCTAATGAACTCTTAACTCATGTTCTAAATAACTCTAATCTCATATTCAGACTGAATATGAGATTAGATTATGACTGAATAATTCAGTCATAACACATAAAAACTAATGAACTCTAAACTCAAATTCTGATTCTAGTTGCAATTGTTATACTAGTGGTAAATATAAACTATATTACAATTAAAACTTCTATTTGTTTATTATAATTTCTGTTATAGTTAATTTTCTTTTTTTTATTTATAAATTTTTATTTTCTATTTTTACTCTTTCTGCTTTTTGTTGTTTATTATTATTATTTTTTCTTCTTTCTTGTTTAACTATGAGCAGCACCTAATTTATGCAAATTTATAATTGCAAATTTTATACTTTTAAGGTTAAAAGAAAAAAAAAAATTATTCAAGAACCTCAAGTTGATTTTTTTTTTTTTTTTTTAAACATCTTCGCTTCCAACAAGGCTGCAAGCAACCACTAATTAGTGTTGGAAGTTACTGGAAGAGAAAAGACGAAGATTGTAGAGCAAGATAACGATTGACAGACGACTTAAAAGATTGCAAATTATATAAATCAGGAAAGCAAGATGAAGGAAGCGAATTCCAAAGAACTGATGTTCAAGGAAAAAAACTAGACGAATAAGAGTTTTTTGAGCACTTAGGAACAGTAACAGAAAAAGGATGAGACTTAATTGAATGACGAGTAACACGAAAATGAATTTTAGTAGATGGCACAAGAGACGATAGCTCTTTAGAGCAGTGCCCATTATAGTATTTGTAGAAAAGAGAAAGAGAAGCAACATTACGACGATGTGACAGAGGTTGAAGGTTGGCTGCAAGAGCAGGTCTAACTATGTTTACAATGCGTTTTTGCACCTTGTCTGAAAGAGAAAGGGCATCATTAGAAGATCCACCCCAGATATGGCAACAGTATTCCATGCAAGGCCTGATTTGAGATTTATAGAGATAGAGAATAGAATCCAGAGTAAAAAAAGTGACGAGCTCGATAAAGAGAAGCAACTTTAGCAGATGCTAATTTTGCAACGGATTTGATATAAGGTTTCCAAGAAAGATCAGAAGTAAGAGTTAATCCTAGAAGATGAAGGGTAGGAGACTCATCGAGTACATTACCGTTCATAAATATAGGAAGGTCTAAATTATTGCGATAACGATTGGCTGAAAAAAATTGAGTTTTATCTGAATTAAAGTTCACCAGCCACTGTGAACCCCATGCTGTAGCAGAAGTGAGATCCTTTTCAAGCTCAGATGCCCATTGCTAGCAATCAGAGGGAGTTGTCTTCTTATCGTGACAAGAATAAATGGTAGTATCATCAGCGAACAACGCCACATTAGATGTGAGAATATCTGGAAGATCGTTAATGTAAATTAAAAAGAGTATTGGACCAAGGATTGAACCTTGAGGAACCCCTGAGTCATATATATATATATATATATATATATATATATATATATATATATATATATATATATATATATATATATATATATATATATATATATATATATATACATATATATATATATATATATATATATAAATATATATATATATATATATATATATATATATATATATATATATATATATATATATATATATATATATATATATATATATATATATATATATATATATAGACGCGGATCCAGCATTTTTTGATGTTTGAGATAACTAACTTCCAGACATGGTACAAACCCCAAAAATTTATATGTTTATACTTATGTCAAATAAAGATGATTTGCAAAAAATTGCGATGATTGGAGTCTGGGAACAAAAAAGCCCCAAAATTTTGGCCACACAAACCCCAAACAAGAGAGCAACAAGTTGATAAAATATTTTTTGTACAATTCTCAAGTAAGTTTATATTCATCGTTAAATTCTAAATTTCATACAATAATCTCTTAGTGTTCAAAAATTATAATTGCACAAAGGTTTAACCCCCCTCAATTTGAGGGGGTTACAAATTTTGTAAGGTCATGTTTTTTGAACACTAAGAGATTATTGTATGAAATTTAGAATTTATCGATGAATATAAATTTACTTAAGAATTGTACAAAAAATATTTTATCAATTTGTTGCTCTCTTGTTTGGGGTTTGTGTGGCCAAAATTTTGGGGCTTTTTTGTTCCCAGACTCCAATCGTCGCAATTTTTTGCAAATCATCGTTATTTGACATAAGTATAAACATATAAATTTTTGGAGTTTGTTCCATATCTGGAAGTTAGTTATCTCAAACATCAAAAAATGCTGGATTATATATATATATATATATATATATATATATATATATATATATATATATATATATATATATACATATACATATATATATATATATATATATATATATATATATATATATATATATATATATATATATATATATATATATACATATATATATATATATATATATATATATATATATATATATATATATATATATATATATATATATATATATATGTATATATATATATATGTATATATATATATATATATATATATGTATATATATATATATATATATATATATATATATATATATATATATATATATATATATATATATATATATATATATATATACGAAGTGTCTGCAAGTAAGGCGATCGTACGAATATCTATAAGTACTATTGATCGTATAACATGATCGACGTAAAACCAACTTAAATACTGTTTATATGTCGTGACGCGTCGTATTAATTCTAATGATACCAGTAGATATGTATGTGGGTGATCAATTTACAACATTTAAAGAAATAAAGGATACTTTAGATAAATATATGAAAGAAAATTTTATCCAATTCTATAAAAGAAATTCAAGAACCATCTATGGTTTCAAAAAACATTTTCCTTCAAAGAAAGATCTAATCATTCCTAATTGTCTTGAATACGGAGAATGAGACTTTCACTGCATCCATGGTGGGAAAAAGTTTAAATCCACTGCTATAACAAGATTAAAGCAAAGGTAGACTTAATTTTTATATTTGAAACCTAATCTTATATTTTAATTTGCACATTTTATCTTACTTGATATGATGTTTACGTGATTTTGAAGTTGTAATTCAGCTACTTTTGAAAGGTGTTACAATTAAGTTACATACTCTCAGTTTAATAAATACTTTCAAAAAGTATTTAAAATACAAATAATGGATCAAAAAAGTAATTATAATACACTTAAGCGAAAGTAAATGTTTGTTGGCTTTCAGCAACAACAATAGTTCAAGATGTTTATCTGATAACCGATTTCGGCATGGCACAGCAATTAAAACTCCTTTAAAAAATAAACGTTCAACTGGAGCAGACAATGAAACAGTGACATTAACAACTCTGAGAAGTTTTTTAACAACTGGATATTGTTCCAAACATGCTAATTAAAATGTGTATAAGCCATTTTCAAAATATTGTAAACACTTGATAGTGACTGCTGGCTGACTAGCTTGTATGCATCTTATTTTTAGTGATTCAAATTTTAAAAAATCTTCAGTTCCATGCGTTGATGTGAATGCTTTGTCAGCATCTGCAGAGCTTTCAGCTAATGGCATAGATTCTGGATGAACTATTGTATTCAAACAAATGTGGGAAATCTATGTTTGTAATCAATCGCTCAATTTCAATGCATCTATGCATGCTCACGTGATTATTTTTCTCTTCCTTTTTCCGTTCCCGTGAAAAAACGGATGAGTGGAAACTCACCTTAATGTTTTGGGAAATTCTTTTGACAAAATAAATGCGATTAAAATGCTTTGTTGCAGGAATCATTTATGCACCTTCCACATCAGCATCGATTGGACATGAAAAAGATGATATGGCTCATACGCTTGCTGTAAAAGCTAACAAAAAGTTGATACAACAACATATGATGAAATCTACTGGTAAATTTGTTAACCTAAAAGATATTCAAAATACAAATCAATTTCTTAAAAAGTAAAATAATAGTAATTTAACAACTCTGTTAGATGAGATGATAAAGCAAAAGGATTCTGTGACAGAGGTTATTGTAACTGGTGATAATCAACTACAGACATTGTACTATCAGGAAAATGAGGTGATAAATTTATTTTCATACTATCCTGAACTTCAAATTTATTTCCACAGGGAACCTGTGAGAATCACACGAAGAACCAGTTCTTCGTGTAATTGTGGTTTTACATCTTCAATGGGTCTACCCTGCAAACACATTTTTAGATTCCGATTAAACAGTGGAGAGAGTTTATTTGACGAGTCTCATTTTAAAAAGGTGGCGATTAGATTTTTTTTAAATGGCGCAGAATTTATCAGAGTCCTCTGAGTTACTACAGTCAAGTGTTGTTAATGTTTTATCTATTCAACAAAATTGTAGAAAGCCTCTGTCACAACAGGAAAAATATAGAAAAGCGTTCTTGATATCTCAGAGAATTGCTGAATTGGTCAGTGAGGCACAGGAAAAACAATTTGATATTTTAATATCAAAGTTATTAGAATTTGAGAATTCTTTACAGAGTTTTTCTGTTTAAGATTTAAATAACGCGCTGTTGGATGTTGGCGAGGTTTATAACCTTCAAAGCCCAATTTC